TACCTATCTAAAACTGACGTAACCTGATCATGATCCGATAAACAAAGGGCTCGACCCATCTTCACTTTGCAACCCCGCCCACCTCTTGGGCATCTGGATCTAGATCGATCTGCCAACACTATTTAAGGTGACAGAGGTCCTCACCGCAAGTTTTTGTGGGTAGTAATCATTAAACCTAGCAAGCACAAAAGGGTGTTTATAGACCCATTGGAAAACCATTGTTTAACCCTTGCCTTGAATTTCTCTCCGTAGGAGTATGAAAAAGTACAGAGTCGAGTAAACCGTCAGTCAAGGCAAAGACTAGCCGAAGGGAAGGTTCGAATGGTGGTGACAGCAGACGCACAGATCGCAAAAATTGAAGTTCTCGTAGAGCGAGCGCCGATGGCAGCTGCTCTCAGTGGTGACGTCACGGGTAGAGTGCCACTGAAGGTTAAAATGGGGGCGCAAGTTGGTAACAAGGTAAGAATAATAGAGCGGTGCTTGATAGGACGAAATTGTTGCGCCACTATACACATTCGCATCTCACCTACAAAATGTTCCAAATGAATTTTTATTCCGTCATTTTTTCTAACATCACCTCCTCTGATGACCACGTAGCCCCAACCTTGTTCCCAGGGCCTTTTTTCTTACAAAATGGCGGGGAAAAAGAAAAGCCCTGGGAATGAGAATGGACGCTGCCCACTTCCACAATCGCCCCACCCCGCCTCTAAAAGTACCCCAAGAAGCTTCTAATACCAGAACTATTATTAGTTCAATTAATCGTCGAGCGATCGATCACTGATTTCTTAAAATAAAGAAACGTAGGCTAATAGAATATATTTTTTTAATTTTTGAACTTCAGATTTGAAAAAATGTAAAACGCCATTAACTTGAATTTCTTTTCGTTGTTGTCAGCAATACCTGTCTGTGGATCTCGATTCAGTTTACATGTCTGATAAAGGCACGCCAGTTTACAAGCTTTCAACCGTGGACGCCGACAGACGAAACAGGTTTCGCTTGGTAGTCAGCTTGCTGTTCATTGATGGAGATCGCAGTCAGTCGTTTGCAAGTCCAACGTTTCTGTTGCGAAGCCGAAGACCAGAGAGAAAAAAATCATATTAGTTCTCCCGACGACCCATGGAGAGAATCACAAAAGTTACACGTGTCAGTAGTGACACCTTGTGTTCCAGTTCCCCCGTTGACTGAGCGCGCCTCAAGCAAGACGAACGGAATCTGGGACAAATCACGTGTTCCGAATTACATCATAAGTTCCAGACCTCTTTATGTAACGCAGAAGACAATGATCGAGAAACAGATTCTTATTTTTTTCTTAATCCTGCTACACAACCCTATCTAAAATTAACTTCATTTTCAAGTTACAGCATGCCGTGGGGAGGATCTGGGGCGAACCGCGTGTTCACGAAGACACCGGGGATCCCTGAGCTCTCAACGGGCAGTGCCATTTACAACTACCGTTGGACATAGTAAAGGAAGTAGGCTACTATTGCCTTGAAACAAAGGCTTAGGAGGTAGTTGTGTTTAAGCCCGGGCCAAATGGAAACGAAAGTCGACAGGAGAAAAAATTCTCGGTATCGTTCGACCTGAAACTCATATCTATATCCTGACGATTCTTATATACTCCCATCAAATTTGAACTTGATCAAATCTTCTCGAGACTCGTCGAACCCTCTCTCAATTGACCCACGTTCACTGTAAGTTTCTGAAAACTCTTCAACGTGGATCTCTGAGTATTTTTAAGTCGTTCTTGTTTGGTCCGGACTTAACAATTTCGTTAGTAATTTAATTTGCTACAAACAGTTGCTGAGGTGGTCCGTGCCAATAAAAATAAATTTTAAAATGAATTTCGTTGAAATATTTAAGTTCAACAGGGAAACCGTGTTTGCAAAAGCAGTAAGCAATTTTTTTTTGTCCGAGTTTTACCAGTTTCTATTTAAGTAATCCTTGAAGTATTCAGATCGAAAATTGTGTGAAATAATGTGTAAGTGCAGTATAGAAAAATTTCAATTCAGCAGTATCTCTTTATCTCAGTTTTAGTTATTTCTTAGCCTGTCTGCAGATGTTTGATTTTCCTTTCAACGTCCCAAAAGCGAATTAAGGTCTTTTTCGACTGGGTAAGAAGGAAGTTCTGCAGGCAGGCTGCTGGTCTCTTTATTGTTACCGCAGGCTCAAAACGAAGACGAAGAAGTACCTCGGGTTACTATCTGAATAAAATGCATGAGTCTTTTTGTGTTCCTTTTTCCAGTTTTTATTACCAATGCTACAGACATCGTCTAAATCCATCAGTTAACATTAAATAAGGCTCAGGTATTCGATATTTAAAATGAATTTTGTATTTTAAACTCGGGACTGAAGTTAGTTACTATGTGCTGCAAAGAATTTATAAATGCTATTTAATTCGATATTTCAAATTGTAAAATTTTTAAAATTTCCCTGTTTGTATTATTATAACTCTGTTTTAAAGTGTCACGTCTATTTATGAAAATTGACAATCAACGTCAAAAATAAACGTTCAGAGTTTCAGAAAACAGTGACTAGTAGCTTTCACTCACCGAGTTTACAGAGAAATTTTGAACCATTCGTACAAAGATCGAGTTACCAAACCAACCCTGGCTGAGTTCAGTCCTCTCATATCCTAGCAATTTCTTGTTCTTGTGAACGCTAAGTGTCAACTGTCACTCGCCTAGTTTAAAGAGAAATTTGAACCATTCGTACAAGGATCGAATTACCAAACCCACCCTGGCTGAGTTCAGTCCTCTCATATCTTAGCAATTTCTTGTTCCTTTGAACGCTAAGTTTCAACTTTTACTCGCTTAGTTTAAAGAGAAATTTGAACCATTCGTACAAGGATTGAATTTCCAAACCTACCCTGAATGAGTTGACGGCTCTATCATCGAAATTTCCCGTTCTTGTGAACGCTACGTTTCAACCATAGTTGAAGCAGAGTTTCTCATACACCTCAGCTGGATTGGGTTACCATTGGAAGACCTCCATGACTCTGTTTCACTGGAGTGAGACCTCAATCCTCTTCTAATAGAACAAATCGCTTCCTTAAAATCTTGTTTGAAAAATGTGTACAAGATTGGGTCTACCAACGAGCTTGAAAATCTGCAAAACATAAAGGCCGTGTCGACCCAGTGGGGAATTGCAGCGAACATTTGCCCTCCACCCAAGTCAATTGACAAAGATATAAGAAAGTAAGGAAACCATCCTATGATGTAAAACCCTATCATTGATACATAGATCAGAGTTGCTCGTTTCTCCTTGAGTTTGTGCCTTTTTTGTATGGAATATGACACAAAAAGCATTGTTTGCTTTTCAATTTCTTTGGTGTGCCTTCGCAAAACACAGAAAACTTTGGCGTAAGCGACTATGATGATTAACAGAGGAACACAAACGAATCCAAAGATGCACACAATGTCGTAAATGATCTCCGTTTGCGACCGAGACACGTCATCTTTGACATCGACCCACGAGAGCTGAATGAGTGAGGCGCATGACGGAATAAACCAAACTGCTGACACGATGATAACGTATTTCTTCAAGCTGAGGAAGTCATTTGGCCTCACATGGCGTACGATAACGACGTATCGTTCCACAGCAATGACCAATAAGTGTAGAATAGCTGAGATGGACAGCATTCTGCTCATAAGATCCATACTAAGGCACCGCCACCCAACGTGCTTGTATTCCGCCTCCAGCACCGAGCATGCAAAGACCAATGGGATCGCGCACGATCCTGACAAAAAATCTAAGCAGGCGAGACTCGTCAGGCAAATATTGGCTGGCGAACGAAGTACTTTCTTCTTCCAAACCAGAAATACCACGAAGCAGTTAACAATGACAATAGAAACTGCCATTAAGACTAAAAAGAAAATCGCAGCCATGTTAAGGTGTCCTGATGCATTTCTGTTGTCTCCAGAGGATGTATTTGTTACTGCAGTCGGTGAGCAGTTTCGCTGCAACGCCATTCTAGTGGTATCTTTTGTCTTGAATTCCACTTTTTAAACCTTCGTCCGAGTGCAAAGAAGAATATAAAAAAAAGCTTTTAGTAACACACAGAGTTTAAATTAAACACAGTGAATGATCGATGGCACTCAAGTGTTAGGTCCGACAAAACATTGCACACAATCATGATCACATCACCCACGGAGAGGTCATTTAGTAAGGCCCCGTCCACAGTACACCGGAGGAATTTAAAAACGGAGGTTTCACTCTGAAAACATATCAATTGTTTTCCGTCCACACTACGCCGGAGGAATTAAGAAACGTAACAAACACCGGTCATTTTGGATTTGTGTTTGAGGAAACTCAGTCAGGGAAATCAAATGATTATCGTGACTAAATCGTTTTCGAAAAGTTCCGTTTTCAAAATGTTTTCCGTCCCACGAAAACGAAATGCTGGCGTTTTCAAATTCCTCCGGTTTGAAGTGCGTTTTCGAAAAACTCCGTTTTCGTGCCGGATTAGTGTGGACGGTAGGCCTAATCGTAGAACTAAAACTGCGTTTTCAAATTCCTCCGGCGTAGTGTGGACGCTGCCTAAGATGAGACGGGGTTGTCGCCAAGGTAAGCTTTGCCGCCTAACACACCCCTAAAATTTAAACATGAATACAGATTTACAACATGTTAACACGAAGATCACGGAACATTGAACCAACCTCAAATGAAAGAACACAGGAACAGAGCCAATAGCCGGCTTAATCTGGATATCATAATGTCCTGACTCTGCGGGTTAAAATATAGTTAAAACAGTTGTGCAAACGTTATTCGAATACGCTTTTGTTCTTTGTTCGAATCACTTGCACCAGCTGGAGCTTGTGGGATCAGCTTTTCAAGGTTCAAAGATTTCGTTGCCGAGGTGACTCAAAATACATGTATATGTTTATGAAATATGTTCAAGGAGTTCTCTTTACCAGTAATTGTGTGGTCACAATCGCTGCATGTTCCACTGCCCTGTGATTTTCATGTGTATAGAAGACTGAATAATATTTTTCTATTTTTCTTTTATAGTGTTAGTTGGGCGATAGTAATTATATATTGAGGAAAATTGCTCAATTGTAGTCTCGTTAATTAAAATGCACAGAAGACGCAGAAAAGAATTAATGAGAAAGTTTATCATGGAAAGAATGGCAGTATTGTCAATCAGTTCTGGTGTTTGCTTGTGGAAAAGGAAGTATCATTCAAACTAACAATATGTACACAAGAGACTTTGTCGTTGCTAAAGTGAGCCATAAGAGTTTCTATCTCCCTTGTTCCACTTTCTATAAAAGCGCAACTTAATGAGAGTTGAGTCAAAATTGAAACACATGAAGGCAAACCGATAATAAAAAATTCTGACCCCTATTGTTAATGAACAATGCCGTAAATAAAGTGCTATTTGCTGCGTTTTCTCTTAGAGAAGCCAAAAAGAGCCGACAGTGACACCTTTAATTTTAACAAGGTAATCAAGGCGGGCGTCGTTTTTAATAACTGCCATTTTCATAGATATTTTTCATTAGGCGGACATTTCTAGCTAAAAGCAAAACTGCTGGAGACGACTGTCAGGGGACTCTGAATAATTGAAACGGCTTGCAAACTCTGCAGCAGAAAGACTCAATTCTTCCGCCATTTTGAAAGGATGCAAACAAAGTGTGAAATAAAGTGTTGTTTGCCAAGGATACGACACATCATCAGAACTTTCCTTTTTGTTTATCATTTGGCAAAACGTAAATATAATACTTACATTTCGCCGATAAAAGTAAAATATAAGACTTTAAGGTAAAAAGCTGTTAAAATTATGAGTCTAAACGTTTTCGATCTGTTTGAACATCATCGGAGTGATTTGCAAATATAAAACTTTAAGGTAAAAAGCTGTTAAAATTATGAGTCTAAACGTTTTCGATCTGTTTGAACATCATCAGAGTGCTCTGATGATGATCAAACTGATCGAAAACGTTTAGACTCATAATTTTAACAGCTTTTTACCTTAAAGTTTTATATTTGCAAATATAATAATAAAAGAGGTACGCATGATGTCTCTTGTGTATCCTCACTTTGTATTGTTACGCACTTGATCGCAGTTTGCATAGTTGAATGAGTAGGAGAAACTCGCCGCCGCCAATTTTATATATGTACTTTTCTAGAATTCGTTTTTGCTGTCTACCTCGGTTTCCATGCCATTTGCGTAATCCTATATGGAGAGGTACGTAAATTGATATTTCACTTTTAAAAAATAATACCCTGTAGTGATTTTCACGGTGTAACGTTTAAGTTGTCATGACTAAGTTCTTGATAGACTTTACCATTAGTGAATTATGAATTGCTTTTTACCCCACAGACTGTAAGTGCAATTATTTCATTTTACTCATTAGTTTCCAGCATACTTTTTGCACTTTGATATTATTGCTTATTTGCATTACAGTTTAACACAGTAAATTTACTGTTGTTGTTTGCTACAGGACTTAAAATGCCAACATAAGGTCCGGTTGGAGTTAACCTACAACTGACAAATTACCCAGAAGTTTGTATCGGTGACCAATCCCTCGATCATTACAAACAAACGGCCTTCATTTCAACTGAAACCTATAAAAAAAAGCTTTTCTACAATTTGAATGAACTATAACTAAATACGCAACTGGCATACAGTTGTTACTGAAGACCAAAAGTTAACAACTGGCAAATTAATTGTCTTCTCTTTTTCTCACTGATGGTGGTATTAGGGCCTACTACGGAAAGACGCTTAAAATTTCTTTGAAAACTACCCCGGGAAAAACTGATCGAAAAACCACTATAAAGATCGCTCAAAACCAAAAAACCACCGAACATAAAGACTAACTACCAATTTACAAGCTTGATACAGCAGCGAAAGATGGTGTACTTTTCTTTTTCTGAGGGATCAAAACATTTTCATTTGAAACAAATCATTCCCTAGGAAGTAGGAAAGCGAATATAACCAAACTGATTTCTTTACCAACAACTGAACACCGAATGCTAGAGAAGGAAAAACCCTCCAAAAAAACCCTGCAAAAAAAAAACCGGAAAACCGATCTCACAACAACAACAAAAAAATCACCAAAAACTTACAACCGAAAACCCCAAAGACCCCTCTTAAGACAAGGTCAACAAAGGTTTAATTACTAACAACTAGCTACAACTGAAATATTTTCAATATGCTTGCTAAAAAAGGAAAAATTGTTGATTTTTTTCACCCAGCAAATCTTTTAAGTGACTAACCATTAGAAGTACTGTTTCACCACTGACCAATGGGAAACTACTAAGTTATAATGATACCTCCCCGTGCGAGCGTTCTCTCTCATGAGTCGAGTTCAAAGCGACCTGTGTACTACATAAACATCATGCTAAATGACATATTATGAGATTTCATTGATAAATTGACTCATTTTCTATATCGATTCTATAGTTTCTTTTAACAGCAGACTCCCCAGAACTCAGTGATTTGCGCCGGATTTTAAAGTACGTACATTGTGTATTTTGCAGGTTCATCATTTCAGTGATAGTCGACAGTTCTCTGTTATAATGGCCTACGAAGGAGGTGCTTGAATACAAATGTGACACTGTACCCCAAATAAACCGCAAAAGTGTCAAATCTAAAATGTTAAATAATTCGTAAGTATCAATATATTTCAACAAGTCTTGCTGTATTTTTGCGGGATAACAGGGCAAATAAAGGCAAAAATAACGGAGAAAAATGATCAGCGAATCTAAACAATAAGGCATTTAAAGAGATTATTTGACAAGCAGTGTTTTTCGTTCCCACAACGTAGAGTTACTGTATTTCGCGTTTCGTGTCGTCAGTAAAATAAATGAGAGGATTCATACAAATATCGTGAGATTTTGGGCCTCATTTTGTACTAGCACTGTACTCTGTCATTTAAGTGGACAATAAATTATGAATTGCCCTAAAATCTAGCGTTTATACAGGACAGACCTCCTCTAAGTTAGTATTTACAAATTAAATGTAATCAAACCCCTTTCCAAAACATTAATATTTCTCAGGCTTGTCATTCTGCGAATAAAAGATCTGGTCGATTGCTTGAGATCAATTCCCGTAACGTAATTAAACTTTGAACTAAAAAATAGGCTAAAGGAGAAGCGAAAGTCGCAATCATTTAACGGGATCTAAAAAGAAACAACATAAGGAGATAAACATTATAAATTAGCTGTCTTTTTCGAATGAGACATGTTTTTTTAAATTTTTTCTTTTTTAAATAAACTCGCGATTCTTGAATAATGCAGCTAGGAAGTTTTCATTTAAAAAAATTGTTTTTAAAGGTTGTAAAAAGAAGTGAAATCAAACGGCCCGAAATAAAATAACAAAAAACTCTACCGGCATAAGCAATGTGAACACTTCGGATTCGTTCTAAACAAGTCACATCTTGTTTCATTGTTGCCTATTTAAACAATTTCCAAAAAATGAAATTACCAGTTAGTGTTCGATTTACCTTAGCACTGTGCTCCGCGATGGCAATTTGTCTGCTGTTGTTCGTTCACTGCTCGGGTTTAAAGACCCTTTGGTTTGCCCAAGCAGCTAAGGGAAATTAAATCGGAACCAAACCGCAGGTGTAGTGTGTTCTGATGACAAGTTCACGACAGTGAAGTAGAACTATATCAAAAAGCCTTTTACCGGATATTCAAAGCTGTTGATTATATCGATTGTTAACTGAACGAAATGTCTACAATTGAAAAATCCCCATTGAACTGCCTTCTCTGTGGGCCTCCGATCTCGCGAATGGAAATTTGGGACTAAAATAACATGAACAAACCATGAAAAGGCAGAACAGCGAGCGAACAGCTTGTCGCGATGGAACCATTGATTTCCCTGGTGATAAAGTGCACCGATAGGTTGAGATTGTAATTAAATAGCAATTCGATGTTGTCTTTGTTCTTCGTTGTTGGTTCTTGTACAAGCAGGTGTCAGCTAACAAAAGGGAAAGAAAACACATTGGCTAAAACACCAGAAAGTTTGTTGCGACAAAATGCCAAGAATGAAGTACGTAGACTTAGCTAAAAACCGCAAGACTGGTGACAATGAATAAACCTGGCCACCACATCGAACGAGTGTTCTTTCCATGTATATTGAACGAGTTGAATGTAATTATCTCGAAGGTTTCTAAGCGAGAAATCACTCGAGTCTATCTTAGCATCCTGGTCAACGAATGAATTACTCGTCTGAGAAATATAGATCATCTGCGGTATTTAAGTATTTCAAAAAGATTTACAGACAAACAAAACAACAATCATACGAAGTCATCAAGAGGAGAGTGGGTACCACAACTGCCTTTTACCCCTCGCTGCGCTTCAAACTGGCAAGAATTCTGCACCGATTACGTAACGTTCTCTGTTCGAATTTCTAGTTATATTGCCAACAAAATTACACAGCGTGAAATAAAACAGGTATTTTCGGGGAAGGTTCGAAAAGTTGTACAGTATTACAAGGGTGAAAGTGGATTACTGTTCATTAAATTGGACTTAGTGACAGCTGTAAACAAATCAAATTGCTATCCTGGTAAAATTTTGAATCTTTCAGCTATTGTGGGATTCTTAATCCGAAAACGTTACAAAGAGATGAGCAATTGATTTTGGACCTTACGTCTAAAATGAAGTAAGAAATATGATATGAAAATGCATTTCCTTACAAAAACTGAATAAGGGGAAGCGGTTCGGGCGGAACATTTCCAACGAGAGTACCCCAGGGGGAAAACGAAACGAAGTGTTGAACCATCTGAAAGATGTACCGCGCCGACAGCAATGGACGCCCAGAATTAAATTTAGGAGCGTGATGAGTTTTATACATCCATTCAAGGAGGATAACGTCGAAGAACCGAATTTATGTAAACCAAATTTCACGTTTGATAGCCATTCGCCGACACAAATCAATAATTTTGTTAGTTTTAACCGCTAGTGAATGAAAACTATTTTTTAACGTCGATAAAATTGTAGCTAAATATTGTTCAATAAAGCAAAGTTGACTTCTAAATATCGACGCTCAAACTGATTGAGTTTTCAGGACAAACCGTCTGATACAAACGTCACTCCATTTTATAACATTTCAAATTGTAGAATCACCGTTCCTTATAAAATTGAGTTAGTTAAAACGTTATTCAAGTAAATAAAAATTAAACTTACCTTCGGTGTTTTACGGTGGCTTTTACAGATAAGCAGACGAAGAAGGTTGAATGCATTATGAAGCTTCACTAATTGTTATTTAAATAGAAGTCGCTGATTGCGGCAAGAGTATAATTGAAAACCTTTTAACCTGCATTCTTATCACCAGATTTTATTTTTCCACAATCACTTTTTAAAATCTGATGTATTATGCATGGCCAAAGCTATTGCTTAGATCTTTAATTAACAATTTTTAGTCTTTCCTAGCCTTTCAAAACACATTAGGAATTAAAGTAGTTTAAATCTGAGCGACACTAGAGGATATTGCGTAGGGGAAGAACAATGGGTAAGTTCGAAAAGGGTGGTATATATTTGGGTGCATTTTGTGACAAGATGAAATATTCAAATTCGGCTAGCAGAAGTGAAAACTATTTCATTCTTTACGAACGAAATGTTTTTTTTCTCTTACATGTTGATCAGGCACATGTTCTAATCTTATTCCAAGCCGCCTCACTTAAAATTTATATCACAAATCCCGTTCTTGCAAGTATTCACTTTGTCAATTTATTTCCCACACAGTTTGCGCAATTTAATAAAACCACGAAATGGCAAGACATCCTCAGACTATGTCTTGGTGATATCGCAAAAACGCAGTTTATCTTAAAATCCGACCAGGCAAGGTTCCGTTTTTGATGAAGTGTGTGCTGTTTTAACGTCTTTGATTATTTATCAACGCTCAAGCATTCTGTCATTATACTTTTTTGAATCACGCAATGTTCCTTCACGTTTTCACGAATCGTGCTGTAAAAAAAAAAGAAGTAATAAAATGTACAGTGCTACTTGACTCTACAAAACGTTGTAAAGTTTATTATCAAACATTTTCCTTTCTCAAAATCTTGACTTGACCTTGGTAGACGTTCTCGCATGGTCACCACAAACCTGTTAAACCAGTTTTCCTGAGTACATTTTCGCTCGTTTCGCGCGCTATCTATACTCTAAAGAGTGGAATATTAAATGGTTGGAGCTTTCAGTTTGACAACGATTGAATAAGCCCGCGGGAGGACGCCTCATTTTCCTTCCGGACGTTTCCGATGCAATATAAAAGATAATGAAACGTCTGTAGGCTACACGGCAAGTCAAGTTCATTTGAACACAGTCTTTTACCTCTGTTTCAAACCGAGGGTTAGAGCAAACTTACTGGGTTGAGTTGATATGCGCATCCACAGAAATAATGTCTTTGACGACCAAGGTTCAATCTCGTAGCTCCAGTCTTCGTTCCTTACTCGACCGCTGTTCAAAGGGAACGAAGACCTGGGTAAGATGGACCAAGGTTCTTCTTTTTCGCAAAGTCTCTTATACTACGAAAATTTAACACTCTCGTTTGGCTACGTTGAATTCAACTGTTGCAGTGGATCCCAAATCTCAAAAATCGTGACGAGCTTTAAAAACGGACGTCAACATAACTGCAGTAACTAACACTAACCAGGAATAGTTTTAATTCAGATCTCCTGTGACATAACCTTTCCTTCGAAGATGAAAGTAACGGAAACAATTCTTCGGATTTTCATTGTAACGGACGGACTGACTGACTAACTGTGGACTGTCTGACAGAGTGGCTGATTTGTGACTGTGAATGACAGACGGACGGTCGGACTCATTGACTGAATGACTGACTGACAAGCAGATGGACGGACGGACGGACCGACCGACTGACTAAGTGACGTACGGACGGACTCATTGACTGAATGTCTGACTGACAGATGGACGGACTGACTGATTGATTAACTAAGTGACGGAAGGACGGACGGACTCATTGACTGAATGACTGACTGACTGACTGACAGTTGGACGGACGGACGGACCGACCGACCGATTGACCCACTAATTGACGGACAAACGTACGGACAGTCCGACGGACTGATGGACGAACTGCAGACCAACAGATGGAGAGACTGAATGGTTTGCACACAATATTGCCATTTTTAAGTTGCACTGTTTGTCTCGCCCTGAAATTTTGTAGGCAATAGCACGCGCGGCAGTTCCAGAGAAGAATGATGTCAGGAGTAGAATCAGAACTGGACACACGTCACAACTTTGTTGAGGGAATGTTGCATCAATGACCACACTTAAAGAGGGTAAGGTAACAATGCATGAACGATTACTCTAACGAGTAAACTATCTCACAAAGTATATTAATACAGCATACACCACAATGCCTTACACAAGTTAAAAAGAATACAAGTCATTTAAAAACACTGAGGCACTCTTGGTTACAGTGTGTAACATTTCTGGACGGACAAGTTATTCTTACTGGTATTTGTGCCTGAATAAATATATCTTATATTTTGAGTTATACCACTGTAACCCTTTAAAGTTTTTTACCGAATATTTTCATACATTGAGCATTGCTCTGCTATCCAAGAACCTCGTTAACAACTAGTGAGGCCCTGTTAGGGGTAAATTTCGACAAGCGACATGGCCTTGAAACGGCGACATGAGAGCTATGAATTGGCGACGAACGACAGACTACTCCAGCGAAATAGGGAAAGAGACACCAATGGCAAGATAGACCGACAACGAATTTCGGAACTGAGAATGCAGTGATTGTTTTAAACGTCTGAGTCGAAGTGAGGACGCATTTCCAGACGGTGTTTTCCTCTCTCACGCGTGATGTCGACGGGTCGTGAAACTCACGCTTTCTTATATATGCTAGCACGTCCACGTCGAACAAATCGAGTCCGTCATTGCTGAGTATTTTTTCTCTGTCTCAGCTGAGTGAGCAAAGCCCTAAAACGCATAAAAACACGCTTGAGGAAAAAGGAAAGAGATCTTTGACCGTCCGCTTCATATTTTTATTAGTGGGTCACCAGTGAAAGAATATAAAGCTGTATTATCAACAAATGGCATTATAGAAGGAAAAGAGAGCCAGGGGAAAGCTGCCAAGGTCTTCTCGTCTTCAGCAGAAGATAAGGGTTACGCTAAATTCAAAGGAAGATTATAGATAATAGAGATTATCTGATTGAGGCCGTTGAGATTTTGAATTAAAGAACGGTTGTTAAACATAAACATGGTAAAAATAGTCATAGGTTCGATTGTACTTTAGGT